AGGCCCCGCCTCCTCACTCCGCGCCCCAAAAAGCTCGGGCCGCCCAGCCCTGCGCCGCGGTCCCTTCCCGGGTCCCTGATGGTCGGAGTCCCCGGCTCCTGCGTGACCGAGGTCAGGGTCAGGGTCAGGGTCAGGGGTCCGGGCCAGGGGTCAGGGTTCAGGGTCAGGGTGACAGCGCGGAGGCAGACGCTGGGGCTGGGAATCGGCCTGGAGGTGCCAAGGGGCACAGGACCCCACTGTTCAGGGGTGTTCGCCGAGGAGCTGCAGGTGGGAGGGGCCCGCAGGCCCGGAGCCGGTGTTGCAAGAAGAAAAGCAGCTGTGAAAGGACGAGAGCCCGGCGGCGGCCCAGGGGCCGAGCGGCGACCCGTGAACCAGGAGGTCAGGGTTCGATGGCGAGTTCGATTTCGGGTCGGGGCCCAGGCCCGGCTGCGGGCTCATCCCCAGTGGGGGGCGTGCAGGAGGCGGCCCATCCGTGGTTCTCTCTCATCATCGTGTTTCTGTCTCTCTCCCTCTCCCTTCCTCTCTGAAATCAGTAAAAATATATTATTTTTAAAAAGGTAGGCCCTAACCCGTGTGGCTCAGTGGATAGAGCGTCGGCCTGCGGACTGAAAGGTCCCAGGTTCGATTCCGGCCAAGGGCATGTACCTGGGTTGTGGCCACATTGTGGCCACACCGGTGGGAGGTGTGCAGGAGGCAGCTGATCGATGTTTCTAACTCTCTATCCCTCTCCCTTCCTCTCTGTAAAAAATCAATAAAATATATATATTTTTAAAAAAGGTAGCTGTGCCTTGGGGCCTGGATGGGTCCGTGGCTCCGAGAAGACGGTGCGTTTTGAGGACGAAGGACAGGACGTGCTCTGATTTGGTTGCTGTGCCGGCCCCTGGCCCCTGGCCCCTGGCCCCTGGCGAGTTTGCCTCAGGAATGCTGACCGCTCTCCAGCCCGGGGCGGGCGGAGCTGGGTTTCACACCGTTAAACATTAATGGCCTTGTTATGGGACTTGAAGATCCTGGAGGGAGACACAGGGACCAGACCCTGCAGCCATCCCCGCGCCCCCGCTCGCCGCCTCTCCTCCCCATCCCTACGTGAGCAGGTTTTCATGGACGGCCTGCTGCCCCCATGCTGCCTGCGTTACTGGAGTAAACGCTCGTGTAGGCCTCACCCTGCCTCAGCTACAGTCAGGACAACAGTGGGCACATTGTCACAGCAGCCATTCCAGGACCCCAGCAGGTGACGAAGGGCATAGATATTGGAGAGACTTTTTTTTTAAGTTACCCAACGCCAGTGAGAACTAAGAACATGGACGTCTGCGGAGTTTTTTATGGGCCCTTTCATTTCCTCCCAGGAGGGCCGGTCTGGGGACCCGCAACTCCTACGCAGGGAGAAGAATGCTTGGCCTGGTGTGCGAGGGCGTCTTTATCAAGAACAGATGTGAGCCCAGCCATCATGGCTCAGTGGCTGAGCGTCCACCTATGCACCCGGAGGTCAGCGGAGGTCAGCGTTCGATTCTCCGTCAGGGCACACGCCGGGGTGGCGGGCTCAACCCCCAGCAGGGGGCGTGCAGGAGGCAGCCGAGCCAGGATTCTCTCTCATCATTGATGTCTCTCTCCCTCTCCCTTCCTCTCTGAAATCAGTAAAAATATAGTTTTAAAAAATAAAATGGTGCTGGTTTCGGCAGCACAGACACTAAAATGGAAATGGTAGAAAGAAGATTAGCATGGCTTCTTGCAAAGGTGACACACAACTTCGTGAAGCATAAAAAAATAAACTAATAAATAAAACCCCATAAACTAGGAATAGAGGAACTTTCTAAACGTGGCAGAGAATCTACAAAAAAAAAAAAAAATAAAAAGACACCAAAACCACAATTACTATCCCAGGTGATGATGGGCGAAATGCCTTTCTTCCGAGGTCAGGGTGCCTGCTCTCGCCAGCCTCCCTCAAAGCAGCGCTGGCAGCTCAACCAGCTCAATAGGCGAGAAAAGAAAGAAAAGGTGTCTGGAGAAGAAGGAAAACGCCCCTGTCTGCATATGGTGTGATTGTCTACAGAGACATCCCTAAGGAACCTAAAAAGAAAACACACAAACAGCCCAGTCCGACCAAGCGAGCCCAGTAAGGTTAGTACACAAACATCCACCGCAATTTTTAGAGAATAGTTGACTAGAGGGAGGGAAAGGGAGAAACACTGATGTAATCAGCTGCCTCCCGCATGCCCTCCACTGGGGATCGAGCCCGAAACCAGGGCATGTGCCCTAACTGGGAATTGAACCGGTGACCTCTTGGTTCCTGGGTCCACTCTCAACCACTGAGAACACTGGCCAGGCCATAATAGATTTTTTTTTTTTTTGGTGGAATTTGCCGTTCGTCTGGAGTTTATTTTTGTGGAAAAGTTCATTTTTTTCAATAGATGCAGGGTTATTCTGGTTGTCTACTTCTTCGTCTTGTGTGGGATTTGCTCACTTCACTTGTTTGGCATAAAGTTGTTCATAATAATCCTTGTGTATAATCTTAGTGATATCACCTGTCATCCCCCCCTCCCCCCCAACACACACACCCAAGCTCTCTCTGGCCTAAGGTTTATGAATTATTGGTTCTCACAGAACTAGTGTGTGTGTGTGTGTGTGTGTGTACGCACACATGCGCCCCAAAACCTGGGAATGAATCTAAGAACTAGTCTTGGTTTCACTCATTTTGCTTTTTACATGGATTTTTACTCTGATGTGTTAGCTCCTCTTGTTGTACTAAGTTTAGGTCTCATTGGGTTTTTTCTTCTTGTTTCTTAAGGTGGAATCTGAAGTCACTGATTTGAGAAATGGCTTCTTTTTTGACGCTGGCCTTTCCTTCCTGCTATTGATCTCCCCTAAGCACCGTGTGAGCCGAATCCCACATTTTTTTTTAAAAATATATTTTATTGATTTTTTACAGAGAGGGAGAGAGATAGTTAGAAACATCGATGGGAGAGAAACATCGATCAGCTGCCTCCTGCACATCTCCCACTGGGGATGTGCCCGCAACCCAGGTACATGCCTCTGACCGGAATCGAACCCGGGACCCCTTAGTCCGCAGGCCGACGCTCTATCCACTGAGCCAAACCGGTTTCGGCCGAATCCCACATTTTTACACGTTTCAGTTTAAAACCCTAATTTGCACGCTGATCTCTCCTTTAACCAGAGTTAGAAGTGGTTCCTAAGTGTTCGAGGAGTCAAGGGCTTTTTGCTATCGACTCTCATTCTATGCAGCTGCGGTCAGAGAAAATGTTATAGGAAGTGAATCCTTTAGAATTTGACTCGTTTACGACCCATAACGTGGCCCACCTTGGCCAAGGTCCCCATGAACTTGCTGGTTGCTCACTCACCACCTCTTGCTGCCCATCGCGGAGCGGGGGTGGGGGGTGGGGGGTTGGTGGGACCTCCAGCCTCGCCCGTTCCTTCTGGGCCGTTCCCTTCTGCTTCCCGAACGCAGAGGTTCTAGGGACCGGCCGTGTCGGACTGTCATCTCCGTTGGGTTCACCGTGGCACGACCCTGTCCCTCATGCACTTTTGCTCTGGAACCTTCGATAGGAAGGTCCCAGCTCCACAAACCCTCCCACCGCTTTAGCGTGTTGCACACAAATCAGAACCTCCTTCCTTCTGTGGCTGAGGACAGCCCATCGCGGACCCGCCACCTGCGGACGGACACCCGCTGCTCCCCCCTTGGCTGTTGGGAGAGCGAAGCTGTGGGCCGAGCCGTTTCCGGGTCTACTGGGGCACAAACCAGGAAGGAGCGGGGTGTGGGCTCGGGCGGCAGCTCAGAGCTTCTCAGGAACGTCAGCGCTGGCCTGTCGCTGGGACCCCGACGTCCTTCTAGAAGCCCAGGTGGACCTGCTCCCCGCCTGTCTTTTGTCCCCACCTCGCACCCCTCCCAGAGCCCAACTCTGCAGCTCACCTCGTCAGCCCCGAAGCCCCACGCCAGGGCGCCCACCTCACCCCCGGCCCAGGGGCTCTCCCTGCCCGTCACCCTCCCCTCCGCACAGTCAGGAGTGGCTGAGGGTTTGCCATGTGGGTCTCACCCACACGCAGCGACTTCAAAGAGAGACGCTCTCGGAGGAGGGCAGGACGCCTCCACACGTGCCCTGGGGCGCAGACCCGTGGTCTCAGTTCTGGCAAGAGGTGCGGGGGTCCCCACACCACTGCCTGCCACTCCTAACGGCGGTGTGGCCTGCAGGGGGCGCCAGACTGCCTCGGGGCGCTGGTGCTGGAAGAGCACGGGGTCCCTATCGTCCCCGAGTCCGTGTAAAAATGAAACAGATCCAGACAGCGTCTTTGAACTGACAATTATAATAAATTTCAAAATC